GAACTCCTGACCTCAGGTGCTCTGCCTGCCTTGGCCTCCCAAAGTGCTCGGATTACAGGCATGAGCCACCGTGCCCAGCGCAAGATTTCCTTTTCATTGTATATTATACCTTTTGAATTTTGTCCCATGTAAAGGAATAATTTAAAAATAGAATTACAAAAATCTTACTAGTTAGTAGTCCAATGTTGGATAAGATTGGAGTAACTGTACTGCACATAGTAGGTAATTCAATAAAGATGGAATGAATGAATAAATGAATAGATGGCTGAATTAAGTGAAATGACTGAATAAGTGTCTTAAATCTGTATTTTGATTACTAAAGCCTTCTGGAATCGTGAAATTTCATAATTGTATGAGACTTAATGTCTTTTTTTTTTTTCTTGAGCAGAGTCTATGTCACAGTTGCGTACCTATGCGCACATCTTCGCTCACTACAACCCCGCCTCTGGCTTCCCAGCTGTTTCCTGCCTCAGCCTTCCCGTAGCTGGGATTACAAGTACCTGTATGCGCCCCAGCTAATTTTGTGTTTTTTAATAGAGATAAGGGTTTCAGCTGGGCGCCGGTGGCTCACAACCTGTAAGCCCAGCACTTTTCTGGGAGGCTGAGGTGGGCTATCCAGGTCAGGGATCGAAGACATCCTGCGCTAACCTGGTGAACCTGTCTCTACTTAAAAATAAAGAATCTAGCTGGGCCCAGGTGGCAGGGCCTGTAATCCCAGCTACTTGGCGGAGGCTGAGGCAGAAGAATGGTGTGAACCCGGGACGCGGAGCTTGCAGTGAGTGGAGATCGCGCCACTGCGCTCCAGCCTGGGCGACAGAGCCAGACTCCGTCTCAAAAAAAAAAGAGATGGGGTTTCACCATGTTGCCTAGGCTAGTCTCAAACTCCTGACCTTGTGATTCGCCCACCTTGGCCTCCCAAAGTGTGGGGATTACAGGCGTGAGCCACTGTGCCTGGCTTAAATGTCTTTTCAAGAACAGAAATAGGTCTGAATTGGGAGAAAAAAACTTGTCACTTTGTTAGATTTCTAAGTTTAAGCCATCAGTCTTTATTACATCATAAAGGATGAAGAAGTACATTTTTATATATGCCTACATTTGCTGAGGAGGCTAGTCCTGATCAATACTTTTCTGAAAGATGGTGAAAGGTAGAGCAGACTTCACGTCAACATTTTTACTGTCTCTCCTACTTCAGTGAAGCTAACATCAATGGCTTATACTAAGTGCAAAGTTACCTTTGGTTTTGTTTACTGGTCTATGTCCTAAGATAGGCAATGCAGCTACCTATTGTATATTCAGATCAAGTCTTGGGGACTAGCATGGTTCTAAAATGTTGACAGCTTCCTGGAGATAAACTGATAAAGAGAAGACACTGGAATTCTAGTTATTTTTGTTGGGAAGGTGAAGGCCCAGTTGCGGGCATATTGCAGCATAGATTCTTAAAGAGTTTTGCTAGATAAATAAAGACAACCAGGTAAAAGTGGTTTTAGATTGAGCAACTCTATGTAAAATGCTTACAACAGTGCCTGGCACAGAGTATGTGCTATAAATGTTAGCTGCTATTTGTTATCATCATTATTATACTGACACTCACCATTTTATACCAACAAATATTTAATAGCCATACATATACATCTACACAAATCAATCTGTATGATACCAAGAGAAGAAACAGCTCTTTTTGTAGGAAATTTATAGTGATACATTTTGAAGAATGAAAGACAGAAATTTAAATTGTTACAGAAAAAAAAATACTCTTTCTTTGAGGAAATGTCCTTTGCTAGTTTGGTTGGAGCTCTGCATCGAAGGTTGAGAAAAGTTTATAGTCTATGGTTTTCCAAACGAGTTAAAAACAGAAATAACGATACCTAAGATAACAAACAGGCACCAATCATACAGTAATAATTTATTGCTTTTCAACAATTCTGGTGTGATAAAATTTAACTGAACCAAACTCCCCATATATTTTGAATGTGAGAATCAAATTTCCAGGGAAGTCAGATACTTGAGGCAGGGCCTGTAAAGTATCCTCCTTTTTAATTTTTTTCCAGATGAAGGTAGAATGCCAAGAGAGGCCAAGAGAAAAACAAATAACCAGCTGCCTACAGACCTGCCTTCATAGGAATGTCCTTTGCCTTCATCTATGTGTGCCTCCATTTCTGAATGCCTTTATTTCTGGATACCTTCCAGTCTATAAAAACAAAGGAAGGACAGATAAAAAAAGAACCGTACTACACTTCTACTGGACAATCAAGAGGTGAAAAATGTTCTTTAGTGAGTTAAAATTGTTTTGCAATCTCTTTGAAAGGAGTAGGCAAAAATCTTGAAAAAGTCCGAATTATTAGTAGAGATTGTCTTAGAAAGGTTAACTTTTCACATTGGCAGGAAGTAATACCCAAACAACACAAAATTTAAACTTATCTCCAATATGTAGATAGAAAAATCTATCCATGGGGCACTAGGCCTTTCTTATTTACCTTAAAATATACTGTTTCCCTCCTTCCTCCTAGCATTCTCTCCTAGGAAAAGGTTCTATGACTTTTCTATTTTTTTTTTTTTTTTTTTTTTTTGGGACAAGGTCTTGCTACATTGCCCAGACTGGTTTTGAACTCCTGGCCTCAAGGGATTCTCCGACCTGAACTTTTTTTTTCAGACAGAGTCTTCCTCTGTTGTCCAGGCTGTAGTGTCACGATACTGGCTTACTGCAACCTCCACCTCCTGGGCTCAAGTGATTCTCCTTTCTCAGCCACCAAAGTAGCTGGGATTAAAGGTGCCTGCCACCACACCCAGCTAATTTTTGTAATTTTAGTAGAGACAGGGTTTCACTATGTTGGCCAGGCTGGTCTTAAACTCCTAACCTCAAGCGATCTGCCTGCCTTGGCCTCCCAAGGTGCTGGGATTACAGGTGTGAGCCACACCGCCCAGCCCTGAATTCTTTGTTTGTTTGTTTTCTTGAAATAAGGTCTTACTCTGTTGCCCAGGCTGGAGTGCGGTGGTATGATCAAAGCTCAGTGTAATCTCAAACTCATGAGCCCAAATGACTCTCCTGCCTCAGCCTCCCAAGTAGCTAGGACTACAGAAGTGTGCCACCATGCCCTGCTAATTTTTAATTTTTTTTGTAGAGACAGGGTCTTGCCACTTTGCCCAGGTTGGTCTCAAACTCCTTGGCTCAAGAGATCTCCTGCCTTGCAAATCACTGAGCAGACCCCAGCATGCCTTCTTTTTTTTTTTTTTAATTTACTTTTTCTTATTTTTTAAGTTTAAAGGAATGTTAAATTCCACAGATTATTATTATTATTATTATTATTATTGGAGACGGAGTCTTACTCTGTCTTCCAGGCTGGAGTGCAATGGCGAGATCTCGGCTCACTGCAATCTCCGCCTCCTGGGTTCAAGACATTCTCCTGCCTCAGCCTCCTGGGATTACAGGCACTCACCACCATGCCCAGCTAATTTTTGTATTTTAGTAGATATGGGGTTTCACCATGTTGGCCAGGCTGGTCTTGAACTCCTGCCTCAGCCAGCATGCATTCTTAATAGTAGACAACACAGTAGGAATTTGGAATGCCTGAATGTTTATCTATGAAATAGATTGTTTTTTGAGACAGGGTCTTGTTCTGTCACCCAGGCTGGAGTGCTGTGGTATGATCATAGCTCGTTGCAGCCTCAACCTCCTGAGCTCAAGCAATCTTCCCATCTGGGCCTCCCAAAGCAGATACTACAGGTGTGTGCCATCACATCCAGCTAATTTTTTTTTTTTTTTTAGAAACGGGGTCTGGCTATGTTGGCCAGACTAGTCTGAAACTCCAGGGCTCAAGCAATCATCCTGCCTTGGCCTCCCAAAGTTCTGGGACTAGAAGCATGAGCCACTGCTCCTGGTTGAAATACTTTAATTTTTTTTTTTTTTT